TTTGGAATTAAAAATTAAATTTTTAAAATATTTTTTTGGGAAATTTAAAAAATGTATTACTATTTTTCAATGTGTTATTTGCAACCCTGGATACAATACCCAAAAATTAACATTCCGTTTTATGTTTTAAAAAAATCGGCTTTTCACAGTATTAACTGAAATACAAAACCCTTGTACCTAGCAAATTATAGCCAATCTCTGTTTATTTTGAATTTTACTCTTTTTATTTTATACAATATGTTATACAATATGAAGGTGTTTTTACCACTTTTACAATTTAAGTATACATTTTGTGTGAACAATTGTTTTTGAAAAATATCTGTGGTGGTGTATATGGTTTAGTGATTATTTTGTAACAAAAGATTCAATTTATTCGAGTATTGAATAAACGTTTACTTCTGGAAAAATAAATATGATTTTCAATAGTTTATTGGCTTTATAAGGGGTATCTCAAAACTGAGGTGCCAGTTCGCGTATAAACATACGAACACCGCGAGAAACGAGACTGACCCTTGCGCAGCTTCGTTCTGGATATTGTAGCAGGGTAAACTTCTACTTATCCAGAATTTATTATATACTTTTTAAGGTCTCCAATGGGTCCCTACTTTTTCAGTAACGAGATGATCTCCTCGATAATGAAAATATAATTTGAAATATTTAGTCTCGGCACATGTTACTACACTTAAATTCTTATGATTTCGGTTAGTACATAACGTTCTGCTTGGTCCGAATTCAGTGTTTTTTAGTTTTCGAGTTCATTAAACTTATTACGAAAATATCAAAAACACTTTTTGCAAATATTTTGTTTTTAAAGAAACCACACGCGACATCGTTGTGACTTGGTCCACGCGCGACGACACTAAAGCGTCCATCTGCGAATATGGCCTTGAAACGTTTGAGTTTGTGCAAAAGGCAACAGAGCCACCAAAAAAGTTTGTGGATGGCGGCAGCGCGCACAGCGTACAATACATACATCGCGTAAGTACATAATTGCTTTGGCATTATTTGTCCCTACTGTGCCGTTTTAAATATGTTTTCTATTCACTGTACCAGGTGACTTTGTCTAATTTGCAACCAGAAAAGCGTTATATTTACCATTGTGGCAGCAAGCTTGGCTGGTCGCCACAATTTTGGTTCCGCACACCACCGACGCATGCGGATTGGTCGCCCACACTAGCGATATACGGTGATTTGGGCAATGAGAATGCGCAGTCTTTGCCGCGCTTGCAGCAGGACACGCAACGCGACATGTACGATGCCATTTTGCACGTGGGCGATTTCGCTTACGATATGCATTCAGAGAATGCCGCCGTTGGCGATGAGTTCATGCGCCAAGTGGAGGCCATAGCAGCTTATGTACCGTATATGGTGTGTGCGGGCAATCACGAGCAGACCTAGTGAGTGTTAAACAAAACAATATATCCATAATTTCCACTTACATGTATTTCCATGCTACACTGTAGCAATTTTTCGAATTATCGCGCGCGCTTTAATATGCCCGGCGGCACGGAGAATCTATTCTATAGCTTCGATTTGGGTCCCATACACTTTGTGGCCTTCTCAACCGAGCTCTACTACTTTCTCCACTACGGCTTGAAGAGTTTAGTTTCGCAGTACGAGTGGCTGGTGCGTGACTTAGAGACGGCGAATCGACCAGAGAACCGCAAAACACGTCCTTGGATAATAACCTTTGCACATCGTCCGATGTATTGTAGTAATGACAACGGTGATGACTGTTCCAAGCATGAAACGGTTGTGCGCGCTGGTTTGCCGGTATTGCATATGTTCGGCCTGGAGAAACTGTTCTATGAGCAGGGCGTCGATGTCGCGATATGGGCGCATGAACATTGCTATGAGCGTTTGTGGCCCATCTATGATTACAAAGTGTTTAATGGCTCACTGACCGCGCCTTATCGCAATCCACGTGCGCCTGTGCACATTATAACCGGTTCGGCGGGTAATAAGGAGGGGCGTGAGCCCTTCTTTAAAGTGATGCCCAAGTGGAGCGCATTTCATAGTCAGGATTTCGGTTATACTCGTCTCAAGGCGCACAACGACACACATTTGTACTTTGAACAGGTGTCCGATGACAAGGATGGGCAGATTATTGATGCATTCTGGGTTGTCAAGGACAAGCATGGCAGTTATGTCGAGGAGTAAACGTTTAAAAGGACATGAGAAATAGCAATAACAATAATAATAACGATAAAAGCAATCTCTAACCTCAAAATATTACACATTCGTATTTTTTTTTTATATATTTATGCATTTTATGACAAAAATTATCAAAATATACTTAAATATTGCAAAATATGCATTCCATTATTATATAAAAATTTTTATACAAAAATTAAAAACATTAAACGATGGCTGTGTGAAGATTTGCTTTGTAAGTGAAAATTCAAAAATAAAAATAAAAATTAAATTAATTTTTAGTTTGAAAAAATTAAAATAATTATAAAAAACTCCCATTATAATTTTCATCTGAAAAAATTAATTTTTCTTTCAAAAAAGAAAAATAAAATTAAAAATAAATTAATTTTTAGTGTGAAAAGATTAAAATAATTATAAAAAGCACCCATCAGCATCAATAACATTTTCATCTCAAAAAATTAAAATTTTTTCCAAAACTAATATAGCAATTATTAGAGCAAAAGCAATAAACTTTTCTTTAGTATATATTGTTTCAACTAAACTATCGTTTTTTGTTTTTGTCTATTTTTCACATTTACATTTACATTACATTTCTTTTTTTATTTTGTTAATTTTTAAATTTACTTTATTAATTTGAAATTTATTTATTTTTTTTATTTTAGTTTTTCTTTATTTTTACTGCATTTAATTTTTTTATTTAATATATCTTATATTGTAACATTTATTAATTTTTTATTTTATTTGTTTGCTTTTTTTATGCATTTTATTGTTTTTATATTTAACTGTTTTTTTTTTCTATTTTTATTTATTAAATTTTTTTAATTTAATATAATTATTTTTTTCATATATTTTACACTTGTAACTCTGCATTTTCTAAATATTTAATATTATATTTACAAATATTTACATTGCTTAATAATATCCAAAAATACTTAATCTAAATTATAAACAAATAAAAGCCTTGTAATATGGTAAATCGTTTTTCGAAAATAGCAAAAGTACCAAATAATTTTACTTTTCCACTTATCAATTCAAATTAGAGAATTTTCATATAATTATACTACGCACGAAGCCTGTAACACCCAGAAGTAAACGTCTGTATGTAGGTACATATATATAAATGATCAGCGTGAGGGGCTGAGCCGCTTTAGCCAAGTCCATCTGCTGCGAAAATGCGAACTAGTTCCTCAGTTTTTGAGATATTGCACTGGTATTTTGCACACGTTCTTTTTTCCACAAGAAGCTGCTCATTTGTCGGAACTGCCATTATCGGACCACTATAGCATATAGCTGTCATACAAAGAGACCAATCAAGCTCAAGTCTTTGTATGGAAAACAATTTTATTTTGCATTAATGTGCCGTTTGAAGACAATTGATTTTGCCACGCTAAGTTAACTAATTAGAACACATGTATTTATTTTCGTTATGAAATAATTTACCTTAATAGGATGATTTGTTCAAGTGTGATTTGATGTGTGACTTTGGCTATAAATATTTACTTTTTGTAGCTGAGTATTGTTTAATACAATGCGTGTGTTGTTGTTGCTGTTGTATGAAAGATGTTATATGAGTGCTGTTATATATTTTTATTTACTCCATTCTATTTCATTTATGGCATTATGTTACGATTTGGAGCACTCCTTGCAACGATGTGATGTAAGTCATGTGTTATGTTATGATGTGATGTGGTGATATGACTTTAATTTTTTTATTACGATTGGTAGCATACATGGTGATGTTGTGATGTTATGTCATATGACATGGTACGATGTGATGTGACTAATATTTTTTCTGGCTTTATGAAAAATTTCCAACAACCCAACTTATTTTAGAGCTTAAAATGTTTGCAACATGACCGGATACCAATAATGTGTTGTTTATAGTGATGTGACTTACCTTATAATACTTAAGTTCGAACGGGCAATCATTTACATACATATATGATATTTCTTTCACAAGATAGCCTCGCTGACATTGTTGTGACCTGGTCCACGCGCGATGCCACCAACCAGTCCGTCGTGCTGTACGGCGAAAACTACACCGACGCTAAGAGTTTGGTCAACGTCACTGGCGATGCGCGTATTTTTGTCGATGGCGGTAAGAAGCAGCACGCACAATACATACACAAAGTAACGCTGCGTGATTTGAAACCACATACGCGCTATGAATACTCGTGCGGCAGTGATTTGGGCTGGTCTGCGCGGTTCAGCTTCACCACGCCACCGAGAGGCAGCGACTGGCAACCGAGTTTGGCCATCTTTGGCGATATGGGCAATGAGAACGCGCAGTCGTTGGCGCGCTTGCAGCAGGACACGCAGCAGGGCATGTACGACGCTATCATACATGTGGGCGACTTCGCTTACGACATGGATACGGAGAATGCGCGTGTGGGCGATGAGTTTATGAGGCAAGTGGAAACGATTGCGGCATATGTGCCGTATATGGTTTGTCCAGGCAATCATGAGGAGAAATAGTGAGTGTGCAAAGCGTTGCTGTTATATATATATATTTGTTAAATAATAAAAAAAAATATTAATTTAAATTAAATGCGTAGCAACTTTTCGAACTACAAAACGCGCTTCAACATGCCCGGCGAAAGGGACAGCCTGTGGTACAGTTTCGATTTGGGCCCCGTACACTTTGTTTCCTTCTCCACTGAGGTCTATTACTTCTTGCAATATGGTTTCAAATTGCTCACAAAACAATTCGAGTGGCTGGAGAATGATTTGCGCGAAGCCAACAAGCCGGAGAATCGTGCACAACGCCCCTGGATCATAACTTATGGTCATCGTCCGATGTACTGTAGCGACGAAAAGGAGTACGATTGCAATGAGAAGTTGGAGACATACATAAGACAGGGTTTGCCGTTGGTGAAGTGGTTCGGTTTGGAGGACTTATTCTACAAAAATGGCGTCGACGTGGAAATATTCGCGCACGAGCATTTCTATACGCGTCTCTGGCCTATTTATGATTTCAAGGTGTATAATGGTTCGGCCGCAGCACCCTACACCAATCCCAAGGCGCCGATACAAATCATAACCGGCTCGGCTGGCTGCAAAGAGGAACGCGAACCATTCTCCGAGACGCTGCCGGCCTGGAACGCCTACCACAGCAATGTGAGTTCGCTAATTTCAATGTCTCCAATTCTTTTTTATAAGTTTTTCTCTGCTATAAATCTTTTCACGCTTTAGGATTATGGCTACACGCGCATGAAGGCCCACAATCACACACATCTGTACTTCGAGCAAGTTTCGGATGATAAAAATGGCGAGATTGTCGACTCGTTTTGGATAATCAAAGACAAGCATGTGGCTTACAATGAGTTGTGAAGGACATATCCGGTGATACAATAAAGAAATAACCGTACTTTTGAAATTTGGCTGTAAAAAGAGCTGCTTGATATTTGAAAAGCTGATTAATGAACAAACATATTTTTAAACAATAGACATTAAAAAATATACTCACCTAGCCGGACCTTTTAATTATATCATGTAGTTATTTTTTGTTAAAATTACTTTTTTAAATGTAACTTGCAAAAAAAATTTAAAAATGGTTTTTATTTTAACTTATAACTTTTTAACTATGAAAAATAAAACATTTTCTTTAATTTTGGTTTTTTTTCGGAATTATTTTAGTAGTATTTTTTTTAATTTTGGAAAAAAGATTCATACGCTTTATTTTTTAACTTAGTAAAAACATTATTTCTTTATTCTTAGCTTAGAAATATTGTTTTTTTTAAATTTAATGTGTAATATTCATTGCTTAACGCTGTTTTTTAATTATGAAAAAAAAAAATTAAAAATGTATACATCTATATTTTTTTACTTAGAAAAAAAAAAAATTAATTTAGAAAAGCAGATC